CCAGAAATCAATCGGTAACCTGGACAATTTATGTTATGAAAATCAACTATTCATTATCTTGTTAGGAAACCCGTAAGTGGCTTATATGCATGACTCTCATCTGATTACAGGTGTTATACAACATTCTAGATTGGCCTACTAAATCACATTCCAAATTGGTTGTCATAGGTACATTCTCTTTCCAATAATTTTTAATGATGATGATATTGATAGAGTATAATTTTGTTTGTTCATTAAATACTATGAGCACAGGAATAGCAAATACTATGGATCTTCCAGAGAAGTTGCTTCCTCGTATTTCAAGCCGGATGGGTATTCAAAGGCTTTGCTTTGGTCCCTACAACCACCAGCAGCTTCAAGAAATCATTTCAAGTCGCTTGAAAGGAGTTGATGCTTTTGAAAAGCAGGCAATAGAGTTTGCTTCACGAAAGGTCAGTGCTGTGCTATGTTATCTTCCACAAAATTTTGTCTTCCAGTCATTATATTTCTGTTTAGTTTAGATGTACAATTATTTATTGATGTCTATATTGTTGATTTTAGTAGTCCTCATGACTAAATTTCAAGTGTTGAATGCATCTTCAGGTTGCAGCTATTTCAGGTGATGCACGTCGTGCTCTGGAAATCTGCAGGCGGGCTGCAGAAATTGCAGATTATCATGTCAAGAAGCAAATATCAATCCCGAATACATCTGGAGGTAGATCTATTTTTAATTATACATATATCCAATCTTTCTCCTTTATTAGTAGATGAGGTAAGAGCGAGTAAGCATATGATTCCATCAAAGATGTGAAATCGATGACCAGTCTCCGTATTATTTATTAGGATATGGCTAGTTCAGTTTCCTTCACTTCATTGAACTTCATTAGTATGGCTGAGAACGTCGGTTTGATTTCTGATTGTGTACTGAACTATATTAATACTTCGAGCCATTTATCATCCCTATAAAGTATCATTTTGTTGTTCTGTCTATACTGGCTTCTATAGATGAATAAAAATGCAAATGTAACAACTTTTCAGGGAAAGGTCTTGTTGCTATGGCAGATGTTGAGGCAGCTATCCAGGAAATGTTCCAGGCACCTCATATTCAAGTGAGTTGAAACCAACTATAATTTTCTCACTGTTAATTTGGATTTATGTTGTTTTCCTAGGTGTTTGTTAGAAAAGAAATGATGTATTAATTGTGGATTAATCTTGTCAAATGAATCTCCTGGAAAATGACTTTGTGAAGAAAAGAAATACAGATTATGGAATTTGATTATGGAGGAGTCCGAAGTTTTTGTCACTGTATTACCAGTCACCCATTCTCCCATTTTTTTGCAAATAAATAGCAGCTCTAGTTTTTATTGAAACTTCCCTTTAGTCTGATTGTTTCGAAGATAAGTCTATATATCAGGGTGAACCATAGCAAAGCTAAAATACAGAGGCGAGATTCAAGAAGCCACTGCAATCACTTAGGACTCTGTATGAGCAATAAAAATTTCATGGTACCACAAGTTCTTGTGATACAATAGCAGCCTTAAAGTGGTAAAACTATTGGTGGAAATGACTATTACTCTCCTCTTTGAGCCAAGAAAACAAAAACAAAAGAAAATATTATTAATACTGCAGAGTGGATAACTACTGCCACTCTATTCTTTGTTGGGGAGTAAAAAAGGATTAGGAAGGAAGACTGTGCACTTATACATGCTTATTTTGCTGTGAACTAATTTGTTTTCCTTGTTGCAGGTAATGAAAAGTTGCTCAAAACTGAGTAAAATATTTTTGACAGCCATGGTTCACGAGCTATATAAAACTGGAATGGCTGAGACCACCTTTGATAAGGTGACTACTCAAGCTTTTCCCAAACTTTTTTCTAATGTCTTGGAATGTTGATGATTTTTTTTGCACTATTTATGCTAGGTATTAATGTCTAATTGTCAACTAAAGAAACTACTGAGCCATCCAAATTACCCAGATATTCTAGCACTTGAAATCTCGGATCTGTCCACTTACAGTTGATTGCTTTGCAAACTCTTAGAAGGAAACTACAGTTAGGTGCATTATGTGAGAGGTAGAAAACTACATTTAATATTGGATCCCACCAGAACAAGAAACTAATGATCTGGTTATTGAGTTATCATTTCCTAAATTTGTGTATGTCTGAACATAAAAAGAAACATGTAAATTAAGAAACAGAAGTAATATTGAGGAAATGATGTTAGAAAATGTTGATTCAATTTAAAAAAACAATTCATTTACATTGCATTTGTTTAAAATTTATTCTGTTGCTATTCAATTCATTATTTGATATGTAGAATTTAATCATAATTTACATATATGATGAACATTTATGTTGAATTCCCATTCCTATTCCATAAATTTGGAAATCTGAACCAAAACTTGGATACTCTACACACTCTACCATACCTGTTTCCATGGATAAACACATGGATGAGAAGTTCTTTATTTTTTATTTTTTAAGTTTATTATAGACGATTTTTACCAGTTTGTATTTTCTTAAAACTAAAAGTTCTGGAATTTAGACTACACAATTATTGGGACTTTCTGAGGGGAATCTTCTGATTTTGCAGTTAGCAATGACTGTTTCATATCTCTGTACAAGCAATGGAGAAGCTTTTCCTGGTTGGGATTTGCTCTTGAAAATTGGGTAAGCCATTGCTCTTTCTGTCTTTTCTTATCTAGTATCTCCCATTATTGGAACAGGAAATCAGTCTACCAGTTTTTCATTGAAAAACTCTATTATGTATTTCGAAGATAATGACCATTAGCCCCAACATCTGATTATTGGTCTATCTGGTTTGGTTTTCCATTGTTTTATAACAATAGTGAATAAAAAATTATTCATGCTTTTAGTTGTTAGTTAGAATTAGGAATGAGTCCAAAAGGAGCAAAAAAAAAAAAAAATTAATTTACAACCAACAGGTTACAAGTTGGAGTGTTTTGAAAAAGAAAAAAAAAAAAAAAACTCATATATCGGTTTCCTCTTTCTTTTGGCAGCTGCAACCTTGGTGAAAGCAGAATTCTTATATGTGAACCAGGAGCCAAGCACAGATTGCAAAAATTACAGCTCAATTTTCCAAGGTTAGTCCCCTCTAGCAAATTGGTTCTGCATTGTGAAATAGAAAGTCATTGAGTTTGGTTTGGAACCATGGGTTAAAAGTGTTGGCCAAACCTTACTTTACAGACCAATTACTGTCCATTATCATTTACCATCTCAGTGAGTTTGATGCTCTTTTTTCTTTTTCCTGCTCTATTAGGCATTGTAAAGGGACATATTTGTGGTGGCTATCTGTTCTTTCTAGCAATTTTTTTTTAACATCTAACTGCAATTTTTGTGTTGTAAGCATCTAATATTGGAAATAGTTGGTAAAGATAGCTGTTAAATCATTATAAAACATTATAATTTACTGCTAGTCATAGTATTTCTAAAATACTGTGACAGTAGCCCCCTATTGTAAAGCTCAAAACTTGGGCACAAACCTGCAACCCCTTCATTTAGCAGAAGTATCACCTGACATTTTATGTTTTTGCTTCGTGGCAGTGATGATGTGACTTTTGCACTAAAAGACGACAGGGAACTACCATGGCTGGCCAAGTATTTATGAGTCAGGACTTGGCAGTTAAATTTATGTTTCACGATCACAATTTTGATCGATCACCTTTGAGATTTTCATTGCAATTATTCTGTGACATTTACTTTTTATTTATAATAAGAAGTCTATAACTTCATCATTATCATCTCTTTGCTTAGAACTAGGTCGTTTTGTTTTATAAATTTTAGGCATATAATCTCATAAATATTATTATATTATAAAAAATAAATAATTATTGTGTTTGATCTAATGTAATTATTTATAAGTTAGTCATACAATAAAGAAGTTAATAAAATAACTAAAAACCATAAATATTTGACAGTTTACAATAAGAGTATTTAATTAAAATTTTGTAAAAACAGCTGAGTCTTAACATTGTTTACAACTTAAACAAATAAAAAGTACATTCTAATACTTTCTTACATTTTGATCTAAAACACAATATCGTCCACTCTTTTTATCAAAGCCAAATCAAACACTGGAATTTGTCAAAAATAAGAAATAAGCCTCCTACTTCAGATCTTCCACATGTTTTCCTTATGAACGGAGTATTGAAGTATCAAGTCCAAGCCCTAAAAATTTAACAATTTCTGCTCTGCAACACAGCACAATTCTAGGAACTCATGCTACAGCTATGCCGGTAGAAGAAAATGTTAAGGGCTAAGCAGGCCCATTAAGGGAGGGAGGGAGGGAGGGGAAGAAAAGAGAGGTTTAAAAAAGTACATTATATATGGCAAGCTTCACAATCCTGCACTCCACATTACATGTTACGACCGTGCCCAACCCAAGAGCAGATACTACATAGACCAGGTGCACATCCTGACCTTTACCTCCCAGTGCCTGATTTCTCCTAAGCTACTCTCCCCGCAGTTCTTGGGTTTCTGATTCGCTTGCAGGAAACTTTTAGCATATCCAATAATTTTAACTGGGAAACACCAAGGATGGTTGAGGCGGTGGCGTAAGCGAAGATGTTCTCAACCACATCGGTCGGCCTAATATGGCACTTCCATGAACAGAAAGGTAAGCATTGTTTAACCTATCAGTCAAAAACAAAAATATAAATTAATTAGTCAAGAAAAGATTAAACTCTCCAGACAAAAAAAGATTGAGAGAAAAGGAATTTAACTTGTCAACATCGGGGGTAGCCAAGGGATCATAAAGCTCTTCCCTTTGATCTAGGCTAGGGACAGCACCTGTTATAGCTGTGACTTCTTGGGAACCTTCCACCTGAAAATTACCCAGGATTTTACTGTCAACTTTACGTGAATGATCTTCATTTACTTCACCGACAGAAAATTGATGCAAGCCATCAAAGTCCAAAAATTCTGGTAATTAACTAGAAAGTGATATAGAGTGATCACAAGCTCATGAATACAGCAAAAACTCTAGAAGTACGTTAAAAGAATGCAGAAAAGGAAGTGGTCCTGCAACTCATTTGCTAATAGGTAATCTATTGGCCAACTAAACCATTCAAAGAAGAATGAGCAAACATGCATACATAAGCAAACAGGGCATATGCAACTTCAATTTCAAAAGCAGGGATGTAGTTAAAACCATTTGACACCCACACCACCAACCCCGCCATCTTTCCAGCAACAGAAAAGAAAAAACAGAAAGAGCTATCCTCAATTTCACAGAGAGAAGATTTCTTCAGAAAAAAAGTCATCGAGAGAAAAATTGCATGGTGAGTTCCAACCCCCAATGTAGTACCAGGGGGAACAATATCCAAGTATACTTCAGCAAAACTATCATTAGATTATAAAAATTAAATAAAAGCCATCCAAACAAAAGTAGCAACTTTAATGACGTGCAACCGAGAAGTCAACATCTTGCCTGTTGAGGATATTGTGGATAACCGGCATATGCACCATATGAGTACACTGATGGATCCTGTGTAGCCCCATAAGCATAGGCATCATACCCTTGTCCATAACCATAATAGGCACTCCACTGACTAGGATCTACTTGAGTTCCCCAGCTACCAGGCAGGTCCTACAATTAGAAAAAGTCCAGCACTCATCAAGGCTATTGATTCAGTATTGTTTGCAGGTTACTCATATATACACAACTACAAATAAGCCCAATTAGGAAGTCTTCAATGTTATCCTCATTTTTATCTTACTTTAGTGTATAAATCAAATAGAATTATAGATCAATTTCATTTTTCATTAGCCTTTAATTGCTGTAACAGAAGAATCACATGAAAGGATTTGATGCAAATATAGGTAGAGATATTTTGTTTGTCGGCAGCAAACCCTCGGTGCCTTTTAATGACATTTCCTTGTCACCTAAAAGAGAATGAAAACTGATTCTGGGGGTGAATTGCTTCATGTGAATAGTTTCATTATCAAAGAATCACCTGTCTTGCTGTAGGGCTTCTACTCCAAGAAATGCGAACTGCTTGTTGACCAATCATTTGTCCTTGCATCCTTTGCATGGCTTCTTCAGCAGATGCCCTGCAGAAAGTGGTAGCTGAATTCAGAAACTTCACAGGTACCAACATTATCTACAATAAGATGAGAGGTAGACCTATTGATAAATAAAAATTAAGCAGTCAAAAGAATAGGACACATCATTTTGATGCTTTCCAGTACAGTTTATTCACTCTCTTTGTATTTTATATTGCTGCAGGTCCTTTGTTTGCGATAAAGAGAAGCAATAAGGGAGGCATCATAAATTCTGTGATAAGGTGAAGAGCAAGAACTAACATTCTGACTCAATTTACAATCAATTAAAAACATATATGTTATTAACATGCAAGACACAAGTTTTAAAAAGAGCAGGCAATGAAAGAAATAAACCAAATTCGTTACTTAAGATTAGTTGTGCTATACAGATTTTGCACTGAACAAACCTAGTTCTGAATTGCACAAAACCATATCCTTTGGTTGCAGGTATCTTTGAATAGATAATTTCCCCAAACTGTGAGAATAATTCCTTCAATTCTTCCTCCATGACATTGGGATCCAAGTTGCCAATGGCAATCTGTAACCAATACAATTGTATGAGAAAGGAATAAGATATGGTCTCCAAGGACTTGAGCATGTACTCACTGTAGTATTATTGATGTCACTCTCTGCTGGAAGCACCTGCACTGGTGGAGTAGTGTATGCTGGAATTGGATATATTGCTGCAGCAGATTACCCAAGCATCAAATAACCATCCAAAACACAAGAATCATACATTTGTCCAGCAAACACATGCTGATACAGGCAAAATATTAATTAATGCATTTTTTTTCTATAGGATAAACACGATGTGGTTTTTCTTCTGTAGGATAAACATGATGCAGTTTGCGGTCTTATTCCTAATGCTCTTCAAAGTGAATAAGTCAATACACTTAGTTTATTTATTACTGTCCTTGCTGTTGTCAGTTATTATTTTGGTTAGGCATATGCCTTCTTCCCAATGCTCTTCAAAGGTATATAAAGTATTAATAATGATATACTTAAGATATTAGCATGTTACAGGAAATAATCAATGTTGAACAGACAAATACCAGACTATATCAGAAGACAAAAATAGACGGGTACTGGCTGCAAGATCAATGTGCTAATGTAGTACGGAAAAACAACAGATAGAACAGATAAAAGAAAAGGGGAGAAGAAACCAACCCAAATATAATTGCTAGCTGCCAGCCTTTCACATTTTTAATGAAGAAAGACACAGGAGTTGATAGCTTATTACTAAGTTTCTACTTTCTAGTAGTCTTCTTCCACAAAATGGTACCTTGGAGTATTTTTCTTCATATTCTTTGATAGGAATAGCTCATTCAGAACATAAAAATATTTTTGAGTATAAATTCAAAACATTAACATATTAACATATTAAAACTTTCAAGGTGAAACTGTGAATCAAGAATGAAAAATTTTAGGCAAATGAAATTTCATGAAAAAGCTAATGAAGATAGCTTTGCTAGGAATTTTATAGGCATAACACAAAGGAATAAAAGAACTAAAGATAATAAAAGCTTAGAACCTTTAGCAGCATATGGCTGTTGAAATCCTGTGGTCTTCTTTGGCGTTGCTGCACTTATACGCATTGGTCTAGTTGAGCAATAGACACCATTCATTTCAGTCATGGAACGATTTCTTTCAGTCTCGTCAGCGAATTTAACAAACCCATATCCTTTGGAGCGTCCAGTACTTGGATCAGTTACAACTTTGGCACCTCTAACAGATGGATAATGAGCTCGAAATGTCTCTTGCAATAGATAATCAGTGACATCAGGAGCTAAATCTCCAACAAAAATAGAATGCTCAGGACCGGCATCACGTCTTTCACCAATACCAAAAGAAGCCCAATTCAACCTGAATGTTTGTTCAGTTCCGGGCATCTCTGTCCCATTGTAAGTCTGAAGAATCCTTTCTGCTGCTCCATGAGATACAAACTCCACAAACCCATAACCCTCAGGCTGGCCAGTTATTTTATTTCGTATAATTTTTATTGAAACCAGCTGCGTAGATTATAAACATACACTGACAATTAGGTTGAACTGACAATTAGTTTAAAAAGGAAAACAAGAAAAAACATAAATATACAAATAAACTTTAACATCCCATAACATACTATGTTAAATGAAAACATCCGAATAGGAAGGAAACCGAGAAGGTAATTGAAGATAAATCAATTGACTTTGCAGCTATCTCTAGATAGCCACCAATATTACAACAGACAAGAACCAAGGTTGCATTTGGCTCAATTCTCGCTCAATTCTTCCTAGTCTAATTCTTATATTAGTCATAATATTCATGATCAGAAGACAATCGTATTGTGTCCAATTTAACGCTCATTCATCTTGAATTTCTGGTTGTCGGGAATTGAACAAAAACTAAATTCATGACAGAACCCATTACAGCTTAACATTTGTCAGAACTGTACAGAACATTCTTTTCAGTAAACCACATTTTGGCTGAAAACAAGTTGGAAAAAACAAATAGTCCCTAAAGCATCGGTTTTTTTCCCTGCTTCAATTTCAAATTTTCCTCCGAGAAAGGTAGCCCTAGAAACAATACCCTCATGAACCAAACACATAAATACACGGCCATGTATGTGAATTTCATTATCCAAGAACGTACACATGTACGATAAAAGAATTTGGTACAACGATTGAAGGAAATAGAGATAGTGAGAGTATCTAATAGCTTCGGTGTACATACCTCTCCGGTGTGGGCGAAGCAGGAGTTGAGATACGACTCATCGACCCAGTACTGCAAGTCACCAATCCAAAGGGTTCTCACTTCTTCTAGCGTTGCGGGATGGTGGTATCCTTGTGATTGTGTTGCTGCTGTTGCCGCCATTGTTGTTGCAGTCTGTCGGATACGGTATCCACCGCTCTGTTTGTATCCCCCTTGTGGTGGTCTTCCCTCTAATCTGATCTAAAGATGAAACGTCGTCGTTCAGTTCGCGGTTACAAAGTTACGGTCTCTATTGGTGGCAAAAACGGGTGGGCCTCCAGTTGGCCTACCCAAACCCTCTCTAATTTGGGTCGGTCGACAAGTCAATTGGGCCCAAAATAAATCAGGCCCAACTAATTAGATCCGATTGTCCAACCCTTAACCCGGCCCATCCATTTTAAACGCATAGTTGAAAGGATTAATAAAATGGTTCAGATTTAATTATCGTTATTATTATTATATTTGCATAATCTAAATTTTTTAATTGTTAATTTTAATAGAATGTAATTATTAAACTATACGTTCATAAATTTATTAATTAAGTGAGATATTAATATAAATCATAATAATTTCAATTTCAATTTCAATTTCAGAAGCACAATCTCTTAAGCAAGTCTTAATTTTCTCATAAGAGTAGAAACAAAATATATATGTAATATCATAAGGCAGTGCTTATACAGCAAATAATTGACATTTTACGTGACTACTACGATGTTGTTAGCTATTTCTTGAAAATATTCTATTGAGAGGACGAGGATGCGTGCATGGTTCTTGAAGCTGCAGATCTCGTTTTCTTTCTTTTGAAAAATTATATAAAAATCCCATCTTCTGTAATCATGAAAACCTGAAAGAGCTTTTGTCCAGTGGGGGGTGCTCACATGGCCGCATGTGTAAACCAGAAGAACAAAGAATATGAAATGAAAGAAATAAAGAAAATGATAATGCCAACGAATTAAGTTTTTAAAATAATCAACTCAGTCATAAACTAAATATTAAGAATAACTTAAAGTAAATGGTAGCTTGACAAACTGGTTTCTGGTTGTCTGGTTAGCCTGGCTTAATTTCATAGCCACTCAAATCAAATATATCCACTCCAAAAATGGCGCTTAAATTGCGCTCTTGCGATGCTTATACAAATACAGCCATTTTTTTTTATTTTAGCAGAAGAGAAAGAAAAAAAAAAAATCATAAACACCTTTTATTTTCTTCTCCCCTTCTTCTTCTTCTTCTTCTTCTTGACTCCGTTTTGGAACCATGGCTTTTCTAGCTGCGCTGGTTGCTGTTCCAATTGGCGTGTTGTTCTTGGTTTCTGGCCTCATTGTTAATGTCATTCAGGTATAATAAATTTGTTCACGACAATGTATATTTTGTTTTGAGGATACATTATGTATATGTATGTATGTACATATGTATATATAACACATTACAATTGTATATTTCCAGGCGGTTTTCTTCGTCCTTGTTCGTCCCGTGTCAAAGAATTTGTATAGAAAGATCAACAAAGTAGTTGCAGAACTGCTGTGGCTGGAGCTCATATGGCTTTTTGACTGGTGGGCAGGAATTAAGGTTCTCCATTTCTCCTTTCCTTTTCTTTTTCCCCAGTACAATCTTCTTTTTCCTCATTTATTCTGTATGCAGCGGTCAAATATTATAGCTCTACAAGAGAGGTATTTATGTAAGAAAGAACCTATCTGTACCTTTCCCTCACATCTAGGTTACAAGGATTTTACTAAATCTTCAATTCCCATCTCATTTTCCTGGTGGCATTTTGTTGTAATACGCTTTGATTTTACCAGCTTAAATACTAGCTAGTAAATAGACAGAAAAATCCAATCCCATAAGCCCTAATTCAAGTATATAGCTCAATCAAATCTCAGTGATTTGATCTTCTGACTGCAGATTGATGTATTCGCGGATGCAGAAACTTTTCAGTTAATGGGTAAGGATGATCCTGGAGCTGCATTCTCTTTTTTAAAAAGAAAACCTCAAGTCAAAATATGATTATGGAAAATAGATAAAATCCGGAGTATCTAATTTAATTTCTTCCATTAATATTTCAGGAAAAGAACATGCTCTTGTCATATGCAATCATAGAAGCGACATTGATTGGCTCGTTGGGTGGGTCATAGCTCAGGTTAATACTTCCAACTTCCATTTTTATCATTTTACGGATCACATATGATTATATGATATCAAGTTTAGTGATAAGTAAGTATCGACTTGTAAATCAGATCGAATGTTCATTTTCTTTACATGAGAGTAAGAGTATTTTTTCTTGTGGAGAAAAAGCATTGATCATGTAGTTGACTCAAACTAATTTGAGATTATAGTTCAGTTGAGTTGAATAACAGTTTCAACCAAAACCTGTATTGCATTCAATCTTGATTGTCTCTTCCATTTGCTAATTGAACACTGATACAATAACAGCGGGCTGGTTGCCTCGGAACTGCATTAGCCATCATGAAGAAAGAAGCAAAATACCTCCCTGTGAGTTAATCTTACCCACTTCCTCTTTTCAGCTCTCTGGTTTCTATTTACTGCAGCAGAACTAGAAGTTAAAATGTCCAGATTTCTTCAACTAGCTGTGTATTTTTAGTGAAATCTTCTATAGGTGGGAAAAAATTACAGTTGTAAGTACTAATTTTTTTACTGTTTATATGTTAATTTCAATATAACAGTTTTATATGCAATTTCTTTCAGCAATTAAGCAGGCTAAATTCTTACTTTCTAAGGGTTATTCATGTGATAAAGTTCTTTTAGTTTCTATATGATCATTGAACATATATGTATGTTTCTTTTCCCCAGATTATAGGTTGGTCAATGTGGTTTTCTGATTATGTCTTTCTGGAAAGGAACTGGGCTAAGGATGAAAGCACATTGAAGGTACTATTAGACCCATTGGCCAAGCTTATATGTCTTACTCCTACCGGTCTATATAATCTTATTGGTTTCACTCATGCAGGCAAGTTTTAAAAACTTGGAGAACTTTCCTATGCCTTTTTGGCTGGCTCTTTTCGTAGAAGGAACACGGTTTACTCAGGCGAAGCTCGTAGCAGCTCAAGAATATGCTGCTTCTAGAGGGCTGCCTATTCCTCGAAATGTCTTACTTCCTCGTACAAAGGTCACATCTTCTCTACCATCTTCTTTTTCTGCAAAATTGTTCCCATTTTGCCGTGGAGTCTCAGAGATTTAGGCTATGTTTGGAACAAATTCTGAATTTCACAAACAGATTTGTCGATTTTTTGTATTGACGTGTTTCGATATCAGGGTTTTGTTTCAGCAGTTAGTCACATGCGCTCCTTTGTTCCAGCAATTTATGATTGTACAGTGGCAGTTTCTGGTAATCAGCCTCCACCTACAATGCTGAGAATATTTGGAGGAAAATCATCTGTGGTAAGCCAGCAGAAAGACTTACACCACTTGGTCATATATGCTCATATGCTTTTAAACTTGCTTCGATTTCTTTTTGTTAGTATTGCTTTACCAATTCAAGCATGGGACATTTTCTGCGAAAATTTTACTTTTACAATTTGGTATAATGCCCAAATTTAACAATTATCATATTGTTTTGAATTAGAATCTGATTAATATTAGAATTAGACGATTTTATAATTATAGTTTCTTGAAGTGTGTTTCAAGCTTGTAGATTATTTTTTTAGGTAAATTTGCAAATCAGGCGACATGTGATGAATGAACTACCAGAGACATCGGATGGGATTGCCCAGTGGTGCAAAGATGTGTTTGTGACAAAGGTATGTACTAAAAAACATTCAAAGAGTTGCTCGATCTCTCAAACATGCTCATAACTACTGCAAATTGGACAACAAAAATTTGGAGCAGAAAATTTTGAAACAGAAATAGTAATGCAATGCTTGCAGGATGCCTTGTTGGAGAAGTATGCCACCAAGGAGAAATTCAGTGATCTCGAACGTCAAGACATGGGTCGATCCAAAAAATCCTTGATTGTGAGATAACATTCTATGAATTCAGAAATTTTCTTTTGCTAACTTGCAGTTAAAAAAATCCCAATTCAAATAATTCTTTTCTTGTTTGAACAGGTTGTTACTTCTTGGTCATGTCTCATCATTTATGGCATTGTCATGCTATTTAAGTGGTGTTCACTCATGGCCTCATGGGAGGTCATTTTCTTTTCGTTCACTTTCTTGGTCCTTGTCATGATCATTATGCAAATCCTCGTTCACTCTTCTGAATCAGAACGTTCTTCGCCTTCAGAAATTTCCACACAAGATCCCGTGACAGAAAGACTCATTCAGATATAAACTGAAAAATACGAAAAATCAATGCCAATTTTGTAGACTATATATGTATACTTTAGTACTTCTCAACTCTGTTTCTTTCAATCTTAATCGTTTTAATAATGTAAAATGTACTAATATCCTAACCCTGTACATTCCTAGCTTGACCTTAGAAGTTAGAAATATTCTTCCATTTAGCTTGCCTTATTGGTAACACCATCTATTCGCTCATGTACAGTAATATACTAATTTTCTCGACATACAAGTTTGGTGAAGTATGCTATACATAATTGTTGAGGAAAATTAATTCCTGAAGCGTATACAATCACATCAAAATAAAAACACAAAAATAGAATATAAGAATTTTACGTGGTTTGACAGTGTAACTACATTCACATATAAAACTGACAAAAAAAATTATTTACATAATTTAAGAGCACGTCATCAATAGATTAACAAATATATTTATAATGAGAGTACCATAATTTTTCAAAAATAAAAACTCTTTAAAATATATATCAAATATTTGTCAGTATAAATATAAAGAAAATTTATGTAAATTATTTATGAGATTGTAGATAAATATCACCAAAATTCAAAATACATAAACAATAATATTGTAACCCTATATTTTAATTTGCACTTTTAAGCTATTTCTAGAGTAAATAAATTTAATTATGAAATAAGTTTGAAAATTTTTACTTATTTATTTAAGAAGGAATACAAATTTATTTTAAATTATCAAATTAAATAATTTTTCTTCATTTTTATACTTTAAAAACTAAGTTACAAATTCCATCAAAAATCAAACAAAATAATTTGTTGCTTCCAAACATAGTCTTTATATTTTTTTAAAAAAAAAATGGTAAAAATTTTCAGTCTGCAGTAGTTCTTGACTGCCATCTTCAACTTACAGGATTTCCATAAAATCAAGCCAGGCGATTTAATGAATGAAGCCAAAATAAATGGTTGATTAAGAAAAAGCAAATGACTCAAAAAGCAGCCGGAAATTAGTGGTTAGCTTTTTATTCTTCACCTAACCCAAGCTAAAGCTTCTTTCAGATAAATTAATGGTAGTGATATACATGTCAGCTGTATACGTGTGTGTGTGTGTATGTATATATGTAATATGTATGTATCAAGTCTGATCAAGATTGGGAATTTACCCTCTAATTGACTGATAATTTTACTTGAAGTATCTTTAATGATCTTCTTTTACAGGAAATAAAAAAGAAATTTCTTAGAACAGGTAAGATGCCAACCCCTAAAGCTACTGGTTCAAAATTAGTAAGAACTGAATTGGACCATTCTCAACTGAGGCCTACTACCTCTTCACCTAAAAAGGGTTTTGTGTATAAATGTTCTAACTCCTATATATACACATATAGACAGAGACACACAGAGACGCACATCACATGGGTGTGTCTGTATGTATATATATATATAGAAGAACCTTTATTTCATCCACTAACAATCCTCTCAACCTAATTTGCAATATTACGTGTGTGGATTAGGCCATGGAAATCTCAACTATACTTATGTCTCTTCCTTTAGGTGTAACTTTTGTTGTCACTGGCCTTTTCATTAATCTCATCCAAGTAAGTATACATCATCTCACTCGGGTTGTACCTACGTCATGTTCGTATAAAAAGATTTGAGTTCGAGTCATTTTCTCTGAAAAACAGTTCACTTATATCGTCATATTAAATTTGTACATGTATTTTGAATTATATTATTATCCTCCGTGTATTATCTAATAATAATATTACAAAAACGAATTTAGATTTTTTATGATCCTAATGTTAAATTTCAGAAATTAAGATATTAAATTTTTATGAATACCCGATAAAGTTCTCCTAAATTTTAATTAATCCCATTTGCAATTACATTTCTAGGCAGCTTTGTATCTGACCATAAGGCCTATATCAAAAAATACATTCAGAAAAATCAATGGTGCAATTGCAGAAATTCTATGGTTACAGATTTTGTGTCTTATGGAGTGGTGGGCTGGCATTGAGGTGATTTACAGAATTTCTGGAGACCCTAATTTTTACTTCAGTAAAAAAAAAAAAAAATCTTACAAATTTGAAATCCAATGAGTTAAAGTTACTGGAGGTGAGACCCTGATTTTTACTGGGTTTAATTTCTGGCTGCAGGTTAAACTGTACACTGATTTGAAGACCTATCATTTGATGGGTAAGGTTAATAGTCCATATTGGTTCTAGCTCATAACTGGTTTCAGATTAGTGATGAAAATTTTCTAAAGATTAGGGAACATATATATATATATATACACACATTTGCAGGTAAAGAACATGCTGTTTTAATGTCAAATCACATATCAGACATGGATACATACATTTTGTGGATTTTAGCTCAGGTCATATATATATCCTTAATGTTTCATATACACTTTTTACTGTCTGATAGAAAGTTGCTAGTAAATTTGTTTGATGTAATTTATTTCAGCGCTCGGGTTGTCTTCGTAGTGCTCTGACAGTCGTAAAAAAATCTTCGAAATATCTTCCGGTATAAATTATTATTTTTTTAATTTACTAAGATATTCGACTTAAACTCTTGTTCTATATATCTATTAATTTTACTCACTAATGAGTTAACTCATCGTATAAACGAATTTAATTAAATTGCACTTTTGAGTAATCTGCAAAATTCTGTTTCTGTGATCTGAAATAAAATGATGCAGATTGTTGGATGGGCAAGTTGGTTTTTTGGGTTTGTGTTCTTGGAAAGGAGCTGGGCTAAAGATGAAGGCTACTTGAAGGTATATCTATATGTATATATCATTTTTTATGCTGATTTCAATAACATGTTCACAATGGAAGCATATATCTATATATATGTGTAAGGCAACTAACAGTCCTATAATCATGGTTGATTGCTAGACAAGTTTGGAAGAACTAAAGGATTTTCCTATGCCTTTTTGGTTGACAATTTTCGTAGAAGGGACGCGTCTTACTCCCGATAAGCTGTTAGCATCTCAAGAATTCGCTATTTCGAAAGGATTGCTTATTCAAGAGAATGTTCTAATTCCTCGTACCAAAGTAAAAGTTTCGTAAATTTCTCAATATTTTTTTATATTTACCATATTTTCTTTACAATTTCAATCACATAATTTTAAAAATATAATAAACACAATAATTAAAATATAAAATTTAAATTTCTAACTTAATTTAAGTAATAAAATTGAACTAATTTTTTTTTTTTTTTCTCTGAATGGCTTGAAAATAGGGTTTTATCGCAACAATTCAGTGTTTACGCTCATTTGTCTCTACAATTTATGATGTTACAATTGTTGTTCCGAAAACTCATCCAATTCCATCCTTGCTTAGAACTTTAAGGAGACAACCGTGGGTGGTAAAGTAATCTTATAAGTTGCATTTTTATATATTTTGATTCACATACTCAATAAATATTTATCTTTTTATGTATTATTAATATCTTATAATTGATCGTTATAGGTTAAGGTACACATCACACGGTATTCGTTTAATGAATTGTCTGAATCAGAAAATGAAATTGCCAAGTGGTGCAAAGATAAATTTATATTTAAGGTACATATACAGAATATACAAATTTTAAAATTCTTAACTCTAAAGGAAAAAAATCAATATATATATATATATCTTATTCTAAATTTTTTTTTATTTTTACCAGGATGTTACGTTGAAGAAATTTTTTAATACAGGAACTTTCGATGATCCAGAAATTAAAAATTATGAACGATCAATTAAGTCACTGATAGTAAGATTTTAAATTATTTAAATCGTATTTTTCTTCGAATTTTAATTCCGTTAAATAAGATTATGAAGTGTAAATAAAATAATTGAATTCGAACAAGATATTTTCATATTATGTCAGAAATATAATAGAATATGCACATAAAACTCAAGAGGCTGCTTTTTCAAGTACTGAATTGTGTAATATGTAACAGGTTGTGATCTCATGTTCCTGTGTCGTCACACTTGGTGGGTGGATTCTGTGTCATAAGTTTGGCAAAGGGCATGTCTTTTTAGGAGCAATTTTGGCCATTGTTGCAGTCACAATTCACATTTTCATTGAGTACACGAAATTGCCACAGCAGATTCGAGAAATATAGAATTAAGTTTAATAATAATCTTATATAATAACTAAATTCATATTATGTAATTATTTAATTACTATGTAATGTTACTGTATCAAATTATTAATTTTTATTTCTTTTTTATAATTTTTTATTATATCGACAAAGCAGAAGTATTTTCTCTTTCTCCGTCACGTAGTCTCGCTTGGAGACCCGCATTCACAAATTGGTTGATGAAGCAGGGTTTGATGGACGTTGATTAAATTTAGAGACCCAAGCATAGATCGACAGTAAGAAATCACTTGGGTACACGGAAACTTCTTAGTACTCTGTTATACGTCAATGGTAGACGTCTTTTCGTTTTTTTCTTTTTCTCGCTTGCGAAAAAGAGGAGTCCCTACGGAGCAGGATTCAGATTCTATTTGATTCCATCAATCATTAAACTGATTATTCATTGTTGGGTACAAAATATTTGTTTTTTTTATAAGTTACGAAGTGGGGATAAAGGAGGAGAATTAGAATGGGGTCGGTGAAGAATGAACGAGAAATGAACCAGATTGAGGGGGAACCGAAGGAGGCAATCTTGTACGTTAATGGAGTACGGAGAGTGTTGCGTGATGGGTTGGCTCATATGACTCTTCTTGAGTATCTCAGAGGTAATTAATTAATCTCGCTATTTTCTGTTTGTTTGGCTATGGGGAAAATTTACGGGGAGGGAAAGAAAGTCAGAGTAACAGAGAACTTTCTGACTTTGTATTGTGGATTTGAAGTGAACTTATTTTCTTTTCCTCTGGGTTATTTTTAACTTTTGTTTTCCTTGGCTTTTGATGATCAAGTTCTTTCTCCGTTTCTTGGTTTGTCTCCTCCAGAGAGGGGAATTGAGCTTGTTTGCTACTTAGAAAGTGATGGAAAAAAAGGAAAAGAAAGAGTTTGTGTTTTCTTTTTTCTTTCTCTGTTACAATCTCATTAAATCGATCAATCTGTTTTATGATGATTTGAATGAGATGAAAATTGGCGTCTGGCTTTCTGGAAAGTGAAAGAAAGTGAGAGAAAGGAATCACGGGTTTCTGGGTCTTAGACCTCATAAATTACGCTTGCTCACTTCAGTTTACTTAAAAAGGTTTGGTCCCGTTAACTTTTGATCCTTGACGGATAGTTCAACTCAAAACTTTTTCATTTGAACAGTAAAAAGTTTGAGGAATATAGAGAGTAAGAGAAAGTCTTACGTCCAAAGCTCCACTTAATTTAATCATATCAATCAGTCATTTGAGTTTGTGTTCTTGAAGAACTTAATTGGGGCCTTTGTAATTAGGCTATTAAATATTTGCCAAGTTGGTGGTCTAATTTGTTATTGTAGTGAAAACAACATATGCCTTCTTACTTCTTGTTCAATCTTCTAGCATTTGATGTGTTAATCCTGCAAAACCTTATTATCATCTCTTTTTGATAACAAGAAAACATTGGTTTGACCGGGACAAAGCTTGGCTGCGGCGAAGGTGGCTGTGGAGCTTGTACAGTGATGGTTTCTCATTATGATCAAGTAAAGAAGAAATGTGTGTGAGTTTCTCTCTCTCTCTCTCCCTTCAGTCCGCCTTTCATCTTTTGCTAGAATTAGTATAAATATATTCTCTTAAAAACTTCTTTCAGGCACTATGCTGTCAATGCTTGCTTGGCTCCTTTGTATTCTGTTGAAGGAATGCATGTAATTACAGTGGAGGGAGTTGGAAACCGAAAGCGTGGCTTGCATCCAATTCAAGTAATATCTTTTGCTCCATGTTTCTCACAATTCATGATGCTTATTATCTTTTATTGTCTTGTTATCGTCGCTAATTCCATTGGTTTTCTGAATAATATCAGAGGGTCTGAGGTTACTCAAATATATCAAACCAAAATTTGAACATTATGTTTCTTTGGAACTAGTTTTCTATTCCTGTTCCAGCTTAACAACAAAATATCTGTGGGAAATTTTCATCCTTAGTTTGTTGTTTGGTTAGGAAGCTTATTTCATCAAAATCAAAATTATCTTTGGTAACTTTGTTTGCAAGAGTGGATGGATTTATTTTTCCCAATTTGATTCCAACTATAGTTACGAAATTGAAGTTTATTATCCCAAATATTATTTGTAAATTGCATTTACAGCATGAATTTGCTGTAAAGCTGTGATGTTTGACTTAATTAGAGTTTTCTGGTATGTGAGGAGAGGAATCATGGCATCAGAATACTTGAGATAAGTGTGTGTTTGTATAAAAGTGATATGAAAATAAATTGGTGAACTTGGTGGCAGGGCAATTCTATTGGAATACCAATCATTCTTGAAGAGGGGGGGGGGGGGGGGGGGTTGGGAGGTTGGATGAATATTTCAGATTATGACAATTTCAAAAAGTTCCAGTTAATTTTAGCTCGTTACAACACACACACATACATGGATATCTATATATTGATTTAATCAATAGAGCTTAAAGAACTAGGAAGCACCTAACAAATTGCTTATGATACAGGATACTAATATATATTTCTCTAACATTTTAGAATTACTTCTCTTTGTCAATTGGTCATATTTGGTAGCAATTATATGTTCATTAGGATCTCTGCTTTTCCGCTATGAATGTTGGCAGGAATCATTGGCACGTGCTCATGGTTCTCAATGTGGCTTTTGTACTCCTGGATTTATCATGTCAGTGTATG